ATCCTGTTTTCATTCAGTGTCATCTCCTTTGATACCTTTCATTACATGACCCCATCATCAATGTCTGTGCCCAGTTGATGGTTATAAGCATGAGGGACAGTGCACAGTTATCACAAATGAGCAATTTTCTCCACTAAAGTAGGTACCTGAATTGGTTTCATCTGTCTGTACTTGAAGAAGAGAAACAGGAGGCATTTCTGAAGGAGCTGATATACAGCTCATGCTGCATTGCAACTGTCTGCAAACAAGACAAAATGTCCAACAGGCCTTCTGAGACAAGAATACCATGTGTGTTTATATGAGGAGCAGAAACCCTTGTGTCAAAGACAGTCGGGGGGGGGGGGGGGGACTGGGAAGGGGATGTTGTCTCTTACTGTTTGGGAAAGCCCTCTTCATGCTCTGGATATAGATGGGAAATCAGACATCCCAAATTATACTTTTTGTCCACATTTGAAAAACAGGGTTGGTTTTTTACCATTAGAGCTTCAAGATATTTTATCTTGGAGGATGACTGAGGTATGTTTTATCTCTAACTTTCTGACTGCTCAGTTTGTGTTGCAGAAATCTCTAAGAGCTAAAGGGAAGTAAAGTATTATTCTGAGTTGTTATAAATCTGCCACTAATTCCAGTGAGAAATTTGAGGCAAATTTGTAAGAAAGGTCTTTCTCTATAATTTACTAATCTTAAATAAAATTTCCTTTCATTCGTTGTTTTTGTGCCATACTTACATACTTTCACCCTTAAATCTATTGCTGTAAGCATCTTTTGTGCTCTGTGAGCTGTAGCCCAAAGAACTACAAAGCAGTCTTTATGTTTCCTCTACCAACCCAGAAATTGGCTTGCGGTAGATTTTGGGTCTCATTTGGGCCTTTTAAAGATTTTACCAGCGGATTCATAATTTGATAATTGGCCAAAGGCTCTAGAGAGGAAACAGGCAGCTACGCTCTGTGAAGGCAGAAATGGCTCTCATTCCCATGAAAGTGGGATTTTTTCATTCCTAGGAATGGGGAAAGAACGAAGAGAAGATCCAGCATGTCACCAGGTGGCCCTGCCCTTGCTTAGTGAGAGGACAAAGAAAAGGCGTCAAAGCTGTTTAATTTTCCCAGGCAGTGAAGAGAGAACTCAGAAGGGTAGTGAGGGGACAAGAAGGGTGTGATGAAGAATCTTTTAGTCCTTCTGAAGGTTTTAGACTTGAATTTTGGAAAGCTAGGAATGAGAAAAGAGACCTTAGGCTTCCAGTTATACTTGCAAGGCAAAAGATGTCATGATATATGAGAGCAAGAATGACAACTGATTTTGTGGCATTTAGATGCAAGTGGGTGTCAAGCAGGACTGACGCATAGGCTGCTTGAAGCAGAAATGGATCCAGGCTTCTGCTAGACCTGCCTCTTAAAGGACATGAGATTGGATGATTACAGTGGCACCCATTTGGCCTCATAGTCTATCAGTCAGATCTCCTGGCAATCTGCACAAACCCTCTCTCATTACTGGCTTAGTTTTCCACCTCTGGGCAAATACTTGATTTTTGTTCTGCAACCAAAGGTGCAGTAACTTGGAAGACAAGGAGTAAGTGTCATAAGCCATACTTAGGGTGCATGCATGTGGAAATGCACAGGTCAGGAATGGGATTTTACCCTTTGCAAGTTTGGTTTCCTGTGTGAATGCCATCACATTTACTTACCATTGTGTCTAATGGCAGATCATTGAAAAAAAAATGGTAAGAGTTGGTTTCTTCTGTGCTTTAGAAAGTATCTTTACATAGATGTACATATCTGTAGAGTCTTCACAGAAATCAGACATTTCAGGAGTGACTTAGAGTACATTTGCATGGACAGAATCCTCTGTCTAATGCTCCGTGCTGGCCAGACACATGCCATCTCCCAGCCAGCTCCATTTGGAAAGCTGGAGAGCTGCATTAGAATGGCTCTGTGCCCAAGTGAATATAAACTGCCTCTCAGGAGGGCTTATTCACTCAAATCAAGAGCTAGGAGGAGAGCCTTGAGCCAGATGAATGACGAGTGGCCACGGCCCCTCTTTCCTGTGCTATCAGGTGCTCAGGTACGTGTCTATCACACCATGGAGATACCAGTGTGTTGGGCATGTGTCAGAAGAGGGGCTGTGGCTCCTCCAGGAGACCGATCAGTGAGGTTGTGCACCTATCACTTCCAAGGATCCGGCATTTACGGAATATCCTGCTCACATCTGAAGGTGAGAGAAGGTGGCTGTGGGATAGACACTGTTCTGTTGGGCTGAGTACAGCCTCCAGACCATAGGCTGGCCATGCTGAACCTGCAGCTCCTATCTGTGGCCATGATAAAGAAGCTAGCTTGTAGGTGGAAGCGGGCTGAGCTGTTTAAGAAGCATTTGCACTCAAAGAATAACTTTGTGCTGCCTGACTCATCGATATGTAAAAATTTAAGACAAATCAACTTGTGGTTCCCATCCTTGTTAGAAAGTCAAGGTACAAGCCCAGAGGACCTTTGGCCACATCTGCTCTTAAGAGACAGTGAATACCAGATCATTACTGTCTGAGCCCAACCATGCTAGGAGCTACAGGCTGTTGATGTGGTCAGATAATGGCAGTGATCAAGTTGCCCAGACTACTCCAAAGCTCTTGCCTATCTGATGAGTCTTTGCCATTGCACAGGGCATAGCACTCATGTTCAGGTATCTTGTGCTGACTTCAGGTTCAGCTTGCTCTCCTCCTCTGCCCTAAGCAAGGACTTCAGGACTCAGGTTTCTACAGAGGCACCACAGGTGGTGATAGCAACTGATGCCTGGAAACACTAGCAAGGAAAATATGCTGCAGCGGAGTACAAAGTGTGATTTATGTGTTCCTTTCAGATAAAGGAAGTTGGGATAAGTTGTGGGACAACTGACTACTGTGGTGTCATTCGTAAAAGAGATCCCAGAAAATTTTCCATGCACAATTGTTTCAGACTCCCTTGGCACTGATGCTCTCCCACCATCTCCCTGTTTCCAGAAAGCTCCCTTGGCTAACACTGTCTGCTGGCAATGTGTTTTCCATCTGCATTTCAGTGTTAGAAGTTCTGTATGTAACCTGCCCTGTGTGGGAGAGGTCCCTGTTGCCTTTCAGATGCTCTGGCATGGTGGATGTTTCAGGACAACCACAGACCCTTTTATGGCACATCATACCCATGGAATAGGTATGTTTGCATTTGCAGTTGACCCTGAAATTGTCATTAGCAGAATCTCAGTCTAGGTAAAAAACAAAAGCAAGGACCTGTTTGAAACATATGAAGAGACAGCACCATTACCAAGAAGGACATAGATGACAGAAAAGAAAGACCAGTCATAAGCTGCTTGAGGTGATATTTTAATGGCAGTTCCTATTTACGTGCAGATGAGAAGGTATAGTTTCTTCCTTAATCTTTGTGGGCATGTATTTGACACTGTCCCACAACCAGCACTTCTACACATCAGGTTACAAGAGGGATTGCTGGCGTGAGGAAGAAGGTTTGCCTTCACATCCCACCTTCTCCACAGAGTCACCCTGTCTTTCACCATGATTTCATTCTTCTTTTCCCACTTTCCCTCCTGACCAACAATTTCTTACTTTTCAGTCCAGTTTGTAAGTTTTAACCTTTCTTGCACTAGATTATTCTCTACTCTCCCTCTTTAGAAATTCTCCTGTCCATTTGATAAGGTAATCTTATCACTTGTTATCACTTGTATGCCCAGACAAAGAGCAGGCTCCTTTCAGGGTGGCACCAGTGCTTGGCTAAGCCCTGGACATACTGGCAGGACACTGTGAGGACAGACAATTTCATCTGCCATGCAGGTCAGGGTTCAGATGCAAAAAGGGAGACTTCGAAGTTATGAACCTTGTATTTTATATAAATGTGACTTGCTAACTGCACATATGTAGGACTAATGTATGCAGGGCCAGAAATGATCTAGAGACGGGATGCAATAGTAATTAATCACTTTGGAATCATGGTAAGCGTGGAGGTGAGAGATACTGTGATACTGCTTGTAAATGCTGTTGGTGTTGGCAACTATTTCCAGGGGGAACAATGGGTAGAGAAAAGAAATGGAGCAGAGTTATTGAGGGATTGATTTTCTCTTGCTTGAATGTGGTTTCAGTTGACTTAAACCAGACCTAAACATAGCCTTATGTACTAGATGGGTTTGTATCCATGCCTCCCATTAAAACAACATACACATCTGTGTATCAGAGACTGTAGCATGGAGTGGATATACTTGCTGGGCTTGCTGCCATCTCTAGGGGTATTTGGCTGACTTTGTAACAACTACAGTCCAAGTTATAACTTACAACAAAAGTCCAGGTTGTGTTTGGCCCATACTTACTGCTGCCAGCGAAGATGGATAAGAAATAATCATTCAGAGCTGAGTGGAGCCATTTGCTTTCTGAAGAAAGTGAACTGAGACGGGCCTTGCTTTGTATTGTTTCCTGTTCCTCTTAAAGGTGTAAAGTTTATTCTGGAAATGATCAGGAACTTCTGTGCTCAGCTCTGTTGCAGCAGAAGTGTGGTGCATCCTGTGCTTGTGGTTGGCATTGGCAGCAAAGCATTCTTGAATGAGAGTTGTGAGGTCTGGCATTTGCTCCTGTTGGTAGATCTCTCACCTCCTTATCATTTTAAAGTTATGGAGAAAAAGAAAAAAACATCTCTTTTCTTTTGTTTCCTACTTGCTGTGCTGTTGCTCCAGGGTTTTCCTGTTGATCTGTAAATAGGGATACTTCAGAGCAGAATCACTTCAGTCCCTCTTTGGGAGTAACCTGAAATGTGCAGTTCTCAGTTTTGGAACCAGTAAGCAACACACACAATTGCCAAGCAGTGGTCTCTTTTACTCTCTGGATCCAAAGCCACAGTTATGGGTATGAATTGATCATAACTCTTTAGCAGATTTTTAAAGCCTAATGCTTGAGGTGACTGGTGTCTGTGCTTTACTTCTGCATAGTTTTGGAAGGTTAAGTACAGGGTAAAGGAAGACCAAAATGAAGACATTGCAGTTAATCATTTATTCAATGTATTTTATTTCAAACAGATCATTAAATGCTCATATATATACATATGTATTTTTACTTATTCTCCAGGCTCTGTCAGCAAGTAAGTCACCATCTGAAGTTTGTTCATGAAATATGTGGTGTAAAGAATCAAGTGCGGGATTACTGTGGGTTTAATACATCTCACTTTGTGCTCTATTTGTTTTGTGATTATGTGACCTCTCTACTTTGGGCTTTGACAGCTAAGTGGTGATATATGAACTCAGCTGTCTGCCTGCCCTCTCTGTTGGAGTTACCCTCTTCAGTGCAGGGCTAACAGGAAAATGTGTGCCTGTAGTCATTTACCTCAGATCAGTCTCACCTTTATCAGCAATTTCAACTAAAAAAGACTTTGCAATGAAACTAGAGGTAGATGTTCCCTTCTGCTGACCCTGCTGCAGTATTAACAGCCTGTAATAGAAAGATGGAGAGAAAGGCTTGAGGAGGTACCAATTTACCACAGAAAAAGTTAGCCAGAGGTTGTTTGTCAGAGACTTTAAATGAACTAGGGAAATCTCCCTTTTAAAATGAAAGCTGAACTAGAATTTTACACACAAAGTCTTTGAGCTCTGGAGCTAAATGGCACTAGCAACTTTGAGCATTTCAGTGATGTTGAGAAGGGAATACAGAGAGTCCATGGTGTCATTTGAAACTTCAGATTTTCTCATAGGTTTTAATAGAGATTTGGTGCAATACTCCTCATTTATGCTTCTGAATGAATGCAAAAGGGGTCAGTGGCTTGGCAACAAGCATTCCTACTCATGGCTGATATTGGAAATGACTGCTTTGACTTAACAGCACAGAAACATGATTTTTCTTGATGCTCCCTGGGTTGATGGCAGCCACGCCAGGCTGTGCCCACCGAAGGCTGGGTTCCTTTTTTACTGACTCTTGTATCAATTTAATTAAAAAAATCCCAAAGATTATTAATGTCTCAAGGTTACATTTTCACTCTAACACCCCATTCTATTTAATCTTCATGTGTTAGAAACAAATATAATTTTACTTATATTCTTACCTTTGTATATTGACACAGAATCTGTCTTTCTAGTGCATTTCTTGACCATTAGCATCACCTATTCTCTTTTCATCAAGCAGCACAGCACTCAGTTCCTCCTGCATTGCAGCAGACCTAGACTGGTATCAAAACCCTGGTTTTCTTTTTTTTCCCCCCACAAAGGCACACAAGGGAAAACTGTCCCTTTATGTGCAATCTCTGCCTATGTTAAATTTCCGCTGCCCAGTCTAACACCCTCTTTTCCAGTCCCTTTGCCTCTCAACTATCATCTTCCAGCTTTATGAAAATGCTGCCTCACGAGTTGTCTGTCTAGTTCCTCTGGTTTTCCTTAACCCCTCATCAAATCTCTTCACCAGCACCTCTTGGCTTCTCTTAAAAGAGTCTTCAGTGTTAGCTGCCCTAATGCAGAAATGGCTTCTCATGCAATGAGAATCATTCCCGTGAAAACAAAAATATTTCACACCATAAAACTGCATTCACTTAAGCACAGAACTGATTTTCCTTGTCGACTCAGGAAGCTTCTTCTAATTCCAAATCTTGTCTATAAATAATCTCTTCTTTAGCTCAAAATTGTGCCATCAGCTTCTTCACATCACTTCCTTTCCTCTCAGTTTGTTACTGTTCTTGGTAGTATTATGCAGTATTGTTTTCCCAGGTCAGAATATAGGAACATCTCTGCTATGCAAAATCATAACTTCTATCATTCATTGCGTACATATTGTATAATACAATACCACCCACATGCATGTATATCAATGTTTTGTTAACACCACTAATGCAGCAGATGGAATCCCTTTTAAAGTTAAAGCACATGACTGAAAACCCTGACAGGTCCCCTTTCTCTGCTCCATGGAATAGGCTATAGATTGAACCTGTGTGTGTCCCCCCCCCATTTCGGTGTTATTTCTGGCTTAAATCAGTGCTGCTGCACTATGAGCCACACGAAAAGGCTGCTGAACAATTCAGAACTCCAACATACTTTCAGCCTGAAAGCCTCCTGTGTGGGTGATGAAGCATGTTTACAGTGGGGCCGTACACCTCACTGACTGGTGGTCTTCCCAGAGACCAGGAGACAGGGGAAAGGATTCTCACCCCCATGACACCCCCAGAAAAGGAAGGATAAACATGCCTAAAAATGGCAGATTGCTTGACTGAGTGCAGTGCTTCCTTACAGCTTTTCCCACTGCCTTGGATTACTCTGTGGCAGGCTTGCTTCCCTCTCCTATTTCAAAAGGGAAGAAAACCTCTGCTGAAAAACAAAGTCATAACAAAAAAGCAGCAGGAAAGACCAAGGGATGCTATTAATAAAGTGAGTGCCCTTGCCAAGAAAGGCAGAGTTTTCCAGCGGCCATTTTACCACCCCTGTTTCTTTATTAAACTAGGCTGGTTTTTAATGAGGCAGTCTCATTGTGCAGATGTGATCCCGGGGTCTTGAACACCCTCCCATGTGTTTTGTTTTGCAGGAGGCAGCACAGGCACCTCCCCGACAACCTCCAGCACGGGCACTCCATCACCATCTGCTTCCTCTCACCTTCTCTCTCCATCCTGCTCCCCTCCAGCCTTTCATCTGGCCCCCAACACTTTCAACGTGGGCTGCCGGGAGAGTCAGCTTTGCAACCTCAACCTGTCTGATTATCCCCCATGTGCCAGAAGCAACATGGCTGCCTTGCAGAGCTACCCAGGGCTGAGTGACAGCGGCTACAACCGGCTCCAGAGCGGCACCGCTTCTGCCTCACAGCCCTCAGAAACCTTCATGCCTCAGAGGACTCCATCCTTGATCTCAGGAATGCCGGCTCCTTCCTCCCTGCCCAGCAACAGCAAGATGGAGGCGTACAGCGGCCAGCTGGGATCCTTCCCTAGCTCCCAGTTCCAGTATGTCATGCAAGCAGGCAACCCTGCCTCCACCTCCTCATCTTCACACATGTTTGGTGGTGGCCACATGCAGCAGAGCTCCTACAACGCCTTCTCCCTGCACAACCCTTACAACCTCTATGGATACAATTTCCCTGCTTCCCCCAGGCTGGCTGCGAGCCCAGAGAAACTCACCACCTCCCAAAGCACTTTACTCTGCTCTTCCCCATCCAGCGGGGCCTTTGGAGAGAGGCAATACCTTTCCACAGGGATGGATCACGGGATGCACATGATCAGCCCTCCCTCTAGCAACCAGCAGGCAGCCAACGCCTGTGACAACAGACAGTATGGTGCGGTTCAGGGCTCCTCTTCACAGATGTCTGTGCACATGGTCTAACAAGCCATGCCTATCACTGGCACTGAAGGCAGCTGGACCTTCATTGTTTCCAGGGATATACCCATCCCAGTGCCTTTTTGCCTTCAAACTTGTAGTAGAACTAGTATTGTAATGATAAACAAGAACATAAGTCATCTAGGTATGTGCCACAGAACCCTGTGGAAAGCCTTGACTGACAGCCAACACAGCTTGTTGTAGTCCAGGGCCTCCAGACCTGGCATGAAGTGTCTGCTCTTTCTGGACATTGCAGAGAGAAGGGCAAGACTTTAATGAGAAGCTGGAGAGAAGCATCTGAATATACAGTTTACGCATTAACTCTCAGCTAGTATGAGCTCTCAGCATCAAGGCAGCCATGCCCCTGTGCTGTCTCCTCCAGGTGTTGAAGAAAGGAGGTCTTCCCAAGGCTTCATCTTCTGAAGCTGCACTGCCCATGGCTTTAAAGATCTCCCCTTTCTGTGACCGTTCCTCACTGCTGGAATAACTCAGCCCATTCCTGAAGCAAGCAGTGGCCGTTGGGTCCTTCTGCCACTGTAGCACAGGAATGGTGCTGCTGGGCTGGATCTTCATCTCCCAAAGAGGTTTCTGCATTTTCACCATGGACTAACAGTTTCTTTGTGATGGTCAGGCTTACCAGCACCCAGCCTGCAGATGGACATGGGAGAGAGAGAAGAGAAAGAAAAGGTTTAACTCTCAAATGAGGCTCAGACATAAACAGGGACTGCTCTTTGGAAAGATGCATGAGGGAGAGAGAGGAGCTCAGATCCTGTTGACGTGACCTGAAATGATGCACCAAAACCAAACGGATGACAGCCTTTGTAGGGAATGTGTGACCCATAGCACTCAACCCAATGGGAGGAAACTCTACAGGCTGAGCTCATAGGAAAGAGCAATGAGAAAGAGAGCTCTGCTCTTCAGAAGTGCAGCTGGCCTTGCATGCAAGATTTGCCATAGAAAACCATTAGTATTTCAGTAACAGTGAGGTTGATTATTTGCCAGCCTCCCACCTGCCACATGATCTCTGTTTAACCAAATAGATTGTTGCCTTTTGACATCTTTCTTTTCTGTTTTTTTTTTCTTTTTTCTTCAAGTCCTTTAAAAATAAGAAAACAATTGTAGCTTGGTGCAAGTTATGCATTTAAGTTGTGTGAAAATGCAAATACCAAGTAACAGAAAACAGATATTATTGAGATTTGTTGTGAGGTGTTGTAGATAAATGTATTTATATGCCTAGCGGGGGATTCAATATTATGAATATAAAAAAGGGCAATAAAAATGGTATGTAAAATATGTATGAAGAAAAAGGTGTATAAAGATTTGCCCTATGCACGGAACTCTGTTTCTAAGTGCCAAGCACAGAATGCGCTAAATAAATCTTTGCAATTGTTCCCTCTGTGTTTTTCTCTGTCTATGAGACATCCTCAACGATCTTCTGGAGACAGGCATCTCCAAGCACTGTCCCACATGTTTGCACAACAGAGGAAATGAAGACACTGTGCTAACTTGTGAAATCTAGGCAATATTACAATGCAAATAAAACTTCCGTCTTCTTGAGAATCTTAAAGAATTGAGTGCTTGGGATTTGTAAAGTGCCTCTCTTCACGGAAAGGGTGTCTTATGCACAGCTCGAGTTGTTATTTTGATTGTTGAAGCCTAATAAAAAGCTCTTCAAGGCAGTTTTTCACAGTCAATGTAGAAAATAATACTTGCAAATAACGGTATAATGTGTTTCTCATTTCTAAATGTCATTTTGGGATACGTTGTGTCAGGTTTCCATTTGCACTACATTTCTAATATGAGATGGAGACATTAATAATGAAAGTAGGGGGGAAGCTGAAGCCCCTTCAAAACTGGATGTAAATTATGGCTGCAGAGTTTACGACTTTCCAGTTCTGTGCCTAGTCTGCATGACCGTATTCTGGCTTTTACTGTATATATCCGTGGATCGTGCCAAAAAAGGGTTGGAGTGACTATGGATGAGAGAGAATCTGTCCCTCCACTTGTTGTCTTCTGTTTACCTCTGTTTTCAACCCTGAAATAGGGAGCTTTATAGCCTTTCTTATGTCCTTTCAGTCTTTTAGAAATAATCTTCAGTCTGTGTTTTGATGTTTGCTGTGCTGTTGGGTTTGACTCCATCCTACGGCAATGATTTCTACAGGTAATAGTGTGATGTGCGAGCCAGTATTTCCTTCTGGTGGATTTTTGTGTTAGGTTTCTCTTTCTTCTGTATCCTGTTTAATTCTTGGTTAGTGAGCCTGTATCTCAGATAAGAATAGAATGAGGTTCAACACAATCAAACTAATTCTCAGTATCAATATACATGTTTCTTATCTTGATTAGAACAAGAAAATGAATTTTGTCAAAAATTATCACAAGAAACAGTCACTGAAGAAAGCAAAACACAGGTGTAGAGCACAACCTTCAACATTAGTGCGAAGAACTGAAATCCCAGTTTCCATGCATTTTAGCAGGAATCCATGGGGAAAAGCTTTGAAATTGTCACCTAGGTTCTTCAGCAATGTGATCTTTTGAGGTGTTGAGCACACTGTTCCTGATCTAAGCCCTTAGTCCATCCAATTGCCTCTACTATGAAACTTATTTACCTTAGGGTGAGCATTTATTGACCATACTTATAGGCATATTTATTTAGCTCTTATGTGGCACATACATAAGATGAGAAAGCTTGGTTAGACGGGTAGTCATTCCTTCATCTTAGCATATGCTTAAGTGTTTTGTTGATTCAGGATCAGAATGTTCAACATCAAGACTGAAAAAGAACAGGAAAACCAGCCTGAGAGAGGCTTTCCTGTCCCGAGACGTGAAGTTTTAAGTACACAAATGTGACTTGGTGTGAAAGTTACACTGACTGTCTAAGAGGATTAAAAACAAGCTAAGAGCGGAATGGGAAAAAGTAGTAAACTTGTTCCTCGGTTGTCACTGCGCAAAGCAGAAGTCCAGCAGTGTTTGGAGGGCAGCATCAAAAATAACTGGCTAAAGCACATTAAAATGGTTTACTTAGTGTTCAGTTAGGTGTACAGGTGAAATCCTCCCAGGATAACACTTCCCTGAGCAGAAATCTTGCTTAAGGCCCTTATTGCTCCCCCAGAAACACAAGCTGAGCACTGAATTTGAAGTGAACCCAGGTGTGACCGAGATATCTCTGATCAACAGCATGATCCTATGATCAACAGCAGAGTCTATCTCTGGAGCACTGACCTCTTTTTCTGACTTGATGTGGAACTTATTGCATGCTGTGTGGGAGAAGGATTAGAAGCCTGTATAATTTTACACTGGTTGAAGATGCTGTAACATTCTAAATTTGTGGAGCATTTTGGAAGCTCTGACTTTTAGCTACAAAATGTATTTCTCTGCTGATACAGGGCTGCTTTCTGATGCTTTCACAAGCAGTCCTAGGCTCTGATTGTTCATGTCTCCTCTTGAGCATCCAGCACCCTATACACCTCAGGGGACTGTTTTCCAGCTGACTATGTGCAGCAGTACTTCAGAGATACGGAGTTGGCCTAAGTGGGACTGTAAGCAGAGAGCATCAACCCTTTTCTTAGGATGATGGGTAAGTTGGCACTCATTCAGCCAAAAAGACAGGCTGCCTATAGCCATTCTCAGTGAAGGTGCCTGTGCCTGGGAAGGGCTTTTCCCTCCAGGCTACACAGATGACAGCCCTAGGGGCATACTGCAGTACCCATGGCTCTCCCACTCTCCTTTCTAAGAATCAGGGGGTGGCGGGAGGCATGACATGGCCCCAGGTTCCTCTCCTGCCTGAAGTGGTTTATAACATTTCCCTTAATGTCCAGTCATGTAATGGCACAGTAATGCAGTTGCATTTTAAGCTGGTGTAACGACCTGGAACAGGCCTAAAGGAAAACTGCATTTGGTTTGTTATATTAAATAGATAATGTAGTCCAGTGATTGAAGACATGATGTAATTACCTGCATCCATCCCTCCCAGTAAAGCTGGAACATGTTGCAATGCAATTAACCCAGCATAAACTGAAGTATAGCCTACCATCCATCCAAACTGGGGCCAGCACATGGTTTATGTTATGTTGCTATGCAAAGTCCTTTATACAGAAATATTAAGATTAGTTAAAAAGAAGTATGTGTGTGTAAAAGCACTAGAGGGACATGACAGCAAGGATTAAAAGAATGGCTTGTGCTGATAGCCAGGAACATGATCAACAGCAGCAAAACTGGTAAACACTGAGGAATGAGTTGCTTTCACCAAAATCACAGCATGAATGACTCAACAGCAGAAAACCTGCAATCCAGTAACTGGAGAATGGCAGCCAGACTACAGCACACTGTGTGTGCCATTTCTCTTACTGTAATCCCAAGAAGTCAAGCTTTACTAGCAAGCTCCACAAAACGAAGAAGCAGAAGACCATTTGCAGCAATGTCACC